ACAGTGGCGTTCGTGCATCTCTTCAATTTCTTCCCAACCTTAGTCCACTGAACTTCTCCATTTTCCTTTCGAATCCACTTTCAACTTTCCTTTCTTCTCCTATTCTTCATCCCAATGGGAAGCCAAAAGACAGCAACCAAAACCGGCGCACGAAGGTGCATGGTTAATGGTTGTTCAAACTGAAACTGAACTGAAGTGTGAGGAGACTGGATCAGGAGAACGCAGGGAGATGATTGAAGTAGGGTCTTATACGTGTTTTTCGGAGACAGTACACATCAAATCAAATCAAAGGTTTCAAGGCTTTTGGCTAAGCAGCTTGCTGATCGAAATGGCAGTGTGTATACAATAAATGCAGCTAAGTTAAAAAGAGATTTAGGTTTTAAAAATATGATTGGTTGACCTGATTAGTGGAACCCTGATTGATATCCCATGGGTGGCGCAAACCGGACGCGTCTCCTAATATATGAGGGTGAGAAGAGGAAGTGAACAGACAGGAAAAAGGGAATTCCAAATGAGTACCTAAAACTTTAGGGCATGAAATACTTCGGGGTAGCCCACTTCAACGAAGGAGTTTTTCTTTGGGAACCCTAGCCAAAGGCTTTGATTCAAAAGTATGACCTGCAGGCACGCGGGAGCGTGAACGAAGCACCCGCGTGGGAGCTTCTAGAGACCTGTCACACAAGGCTTTTGAATTTCGGTTCAGTGTGTTGTTTGAAGGTCCGCTTCTCGTGACCAGTCCTTAGCCTCACGCGCCCAGTGAGACAAACGGACCGTGGACGGGACAGCGCTTTACTGGCTGGAGGCTGCCCAGCTTTGTCGGGTGATAGCTATCAAGAGAAGTACGATTTTCGGGATCACGGATAAACACTGCACGCGATACATCGATGATTATGTTTTCTTTTTTTTACTTCTTTTTAATGAGTATGCAATGGTTTTCAGGAAGAAAGAAGCGGCCAATCAAAGGGATGCCATAAAGCAGAATTGGGAAACTCAGATTGTTGTGGTGAGATTAAAAAACGTCCTCCGGGGTGATTATTTGGTGTCGTCACCAACGGGCCACCACCGCCAACAAGATGAACAACTGTGAACTTTAAAAGCAGAATTCGGTAGACTGAACTCAATTCTTCCGTGTCCATAACAAAGGTAGAACGAGTTGGATAGCTGGAAAGTATCATACACCCACCTCCGTCGTTTTGGTTGTCAGAAATGTATTGCGGATGGAACCCCACAACAATGAACGTTAGAAAACTGAACAGCTGGTCCACGTATTTGGTGTTGAATTATCCTCAATGCTCTCTACTCGGTGAGTTTTAATTCAAAATATGTTGTACTTTGAAAGATGGACTCTTTGAGGGAGTAAACCTATGCAAATCAAAGTGCACACTCGTCATGACAAAATGGAAAAGAGTAGTTCAGGCAAAATAGGAAAATTCAAACGTACCAAATAACCTCCGGTCGCCTGAGCCAGAAGACCACCAAACGTGATGATAGGTGTTAGACAGGCGAAGTAGAGGAATATGAAACTGGCACAACATTGCACGTGTAATGCATCCGTGAAGTCGGAGAGATAGTGAGGTGCACGACGCTTGATATCTAAGATGAGTCCACCGAAAAGTCTGAAAGACAAAGACACAACGGTTTATGCAAATGTGATTTTTATGGGTGAACAGGTGTATATTACAAAAGAAAGCAACACCTGTTGCATAGTGCAGACGCGTAGTAATTCAATAGTTCTTTGTTTTGTCCCTTGTCACGTTCCTAAAACGTGAACAGCCAAAGCATCAAACTGATCTAGTAGTTTTTTTCCTAAATGAGCAAAGAAAAAATAAGTAAGAACGAAATTCGCAGTCCGAGTGCAGTTGGTTCAATGATGTAGGGGGTGAAATGATCAAATAATTCCTCGAGTGTTGTTAGATAGAAAAACCTTTAAGATCTTATGTGGAGATTAACCTGGAACACAAGCACCCATTCCAAGTCTAAATTATGTCGGGGACTAATGTCAATGTGAAGGACTGCTTCATTAGGTGACAGTCTATAGTGGATAGGGAAAAAAACAAATCAATTCATAAAAATGTTTCATCCAACAGTTTTGACGAGTTCCCTCATTCAAAAATCACGCGTTCAACTGAAAAACCTCCTGGTTCACAGGAAAAAACAGAAAAAATGAAGCAAATGACATTCAACAGAGGGAGATAGTAAAATTGGTGCGTATGACGAATCATGAAATCCGCAAACTGAAACACCACCAACAAGTAGTAACTATGTGGATTCTGAGGTAATTTGCTAGAAAGACATCTAGTTAACGGTGCATATCACGAGGGGTGGATGATCAGTTCGCTAAAAATCGACGTCCATAGATGTGATCAGATAACTATAGCAGACGAAATTTTACTTCTCTCATCCTGGAAACAGCTCTGGAAGTGATTCCTGTGGCTCACCATGTGAGATGCATGAGTCAGTCATGCCTCAGAGGACATGTCAAAGACAATCCACAAGGTTATACGTTGTGGTGGAGTTCAAGGACATGTTATATGTCCAAACAGCTTCCTGAACTGGGATGAATAGAATCATTGACCGGCATCGTGGGTTGACTGCGACGTTTATACCAACCCATATCCGTTCAACTCCATTAA